ACACACACACAGACAGCCTCTCGACAATATGCGTTTTTGCTGGCTGTAGCTGCGCTATAGCGTTTTTGCTGCGCTGCTATAGCGCTGCACAGCAACAACGCATAAAAACTGTTCGTAAAGGATTATTAAGGAGATGGAGACGAGGCCAATTTCAAGTGCAGCTCCGAACATTTCCGCATCTGGAGGAATACGATTTAACTAGTCACAGCAATCTTACTGGAGGAATACGATTTAATTAGCAGTACCACTTCTCATAGCAATCTTAGTAAAACGTAAATGAAGCAACAATGCATCAGCTAAAGATTCCCAGAAATGGCGAAAAGTCTGTAACAAATCCAGCAATTTCCTCTGTTTTAAAGACGATAAGACAGAAAGAAAACCAAAACCACCAGCCGGATGAACAGTTCCCGCTTCTGCTTCTAGTCACAGAAACCATGGAAAGATTGCTACTGATGTGTTACGAGAAACGACCGAATTAGTCAAAGTAACGTAAATAACACATATACATCTATTACCTGATCAACCGTTTCAAGATGGTCCGATAGTTGAGCAGTAAAGATTGGTAGCACATGTTCGAGATCATCGGAACGTACAAGTGAGCATGTTTCATAGGACGGTAGTGGAGGTCCAATGCCCCATTTGAATGGCACAGCAAAACCTCTGAAAAAAATTGGCTTTACAGCTATGCTATCAGTATTTCAGACACTCATAACGCTAACTCCAAGGAACCGGCAAAGCAGCACTCAATGTAAGTTTGTGTACTTACAGAGGATATGCCAGGCTGAAACCTACCAAACTTGCGGTGCAGTCATGCGTTTCTGCACCATGAAGTAGTTAGGTCGTTAACTGCATGAATGGTTGCTGCTTCACACCTAAGTTGTGCGCTCATTGCCGTAAAACATCATAAATTTTGCATGAAAGAAAATAAACAATTTCCATTTAGCGGTCGTTCTTTGAAAATAACCTAGCTGCTCAATGAGTAATTTTCTCGCCAGAAAATTCGCATATTTTTGTAAGGCGTCCATACGTGGGACCGAGGCGTATGCAGATGATAGTAAAATGGGAGGGTCGCACGGAGTGTGGGCACATACTCTCGAAGTTTCAGCCTTCTAGCTTTTCTGGTTTTCAAGCTGAAAGTGGGTGACAAAAAGTGCGAACACTTAGACATACACAGTCTCTTGCCCATATGCGTTTTTGCATTTGCATATATGCCAAAAAAAGCATTAAAAAAATCAGTTTTGACCGAATATCGAACGAAATAAACGGCGCTTCAATTTCAAAGGAAATTAACTGAGAGAGAAACAAACTCATAAACTTTACTATCGTTCGATTCTACGAATCGCAATGTTCATCACTATACTCGCTTTACATGTGTCCCACATGGGGCAACTGGAGCAGAGGTACCTGTATGCGAACCACACACGTTTGTGTAATATGCTTTTTTTGCGGCTGTTGCGCAACACAAAACGCACAAAGTGAAAGGGATATGCGCTGCTAATGCACACTTTTTTCCCGTTTTTGCCGGCTCTTCACAAGTATCCATGACACAGGGAAAATTAGCAGACTGGGAAAGATTTGTGGGCCTGGGGCAAGCCAGAAACCCCAGGCCATGAACTGCTGTCGCAATTACTGCGAAAAAGGAATAGCTGCAAAAAAAAAAAGAAAAAGATAATGGATGAGGGACAAATCAAAAACCAGTAGTGATGACGATTTCCAGGTTATTTCTGTGGAACCCCGATTCAACAAAGAATCACTGTAGAACTCTAAGATTGTATACACTTTTGAAAGTAATTTCAGTAGCGCTAAAAATACCTGGAAATTAGGAGATCTGCAACTGAGCGACCATCTTTTTGCTGAACTGTCACTTCATACACGCCTTTTACGGACTGCCGCAAAAACGTAACGCATAACTCATCAGCCGTCAATCTCGAAAATTCCTCTCGCGCCTTCGCATCAAAATAAAGCTAAAAATGAAACAGATTACTGAGATTTTTGCAACAAAAAGGTATATTCGCCATTGTGACGCAGAATGAAATTCAAACGAAGAACAGACTGCATTAAACAATCAGATGACAACCAACAAACGCCAGCCGCGCTAAAGGATGGCACTTTTGCGCAGCTAGTAATAACTGCTGCCACCATGAAATCCGACTGCGCCAGCAGGACGACTAGTTCCTGTACGTGCTCTAACATCAGCATCAGCGCACTCTAACACCAGCGCACTATTGAAATAATTCCTGTACGATTCGTGCACATATTTCAATAGTGCGCTGATGCTAGAGCACGCTAGGAAGTCAAATTCGCCATCAGTTTGCTTCTAAACAGTCCCAAAGAGATGGAGCAATCGAGAGTCTTACCAAGCGCGTACCTACTGCTGGCACTTTTTGCTATTCGGACTACTTCCTAAGGTCCCTATCTCCCATAGCCAGTGAAGTACGAAGCAGGGTTTTGATTTTATCTCTTGGGCCAAGGAAAAGATCACTTACACCGCTTCATCAGATGGAGTGTTCGTACTCAAAAGACGGCGGGTAGTAGCTTGGGAAAGGTGATTCAAAACAAACGCGGGGAGGAAGTATCGACCCACAGTAAATCCATACTGAATCTTTGCCAGACTCTACAACAAGCACTGAGCTCCGCAGAGCTCATTTGCGAGATAAGCTCTTAAAATACAATTTCGGTATCAGTTCTACTGGACAAATTTCAAATGAAACATAGTACATTACATGTAAAATCGACAAAACAAGAGTCTTAAAGCGGGTTAACATGACCCAAATCTTTGATGTCATGTGCAAAAATGACGTTTCTGTGAATAAGTCCTACTGCTAATTCAATCCCGTGTGTATCCGATACTGTGGCTTAATGACAAATTACAGAAAAACTGGGACTTA